TTATGAATTATTATACTAAATGTAAGTGGGTTGGGACTTCAGCAGGAGCGCCTAACCTGGTACCTGTGAATGCGACCTTGTTTGGAGATCTTCAAAGATGTTATCAGTTAGCACGTGGTGATGTAGGAGTGGGTCCATCCTATCAAAGAGGAGAAGAAACACAGAGGCATATAGAGGGAAGATGGCAATGCGACCATGGAGTGAGGACGCTGCAGCTGCAAACCCAGGAAAGCCAGCAGCTACCAAAGGCTGGACGAGACAAGAAAGGATATTCCCTCAGAGCCTTTGGAGAGATCATGGCCCAGTTATCACCCTGAGTTCAGACTCACAGCCTTTAGGACGGCAAGAAATTTCTGTTCTTATAAACCATTCAATTTGTGGTACTTTGTTATGGCAACCCTAAGAAATTAATGCCATCGATGAGGCTGGGAACAGAGTAGGCAACTTGCTGGCATGTTTGCTAGGGCCAGGCTAGGGCTGGGGACTTGGTTAGCATGCGTGCTGGGCCCATCCCAAACAGTTGATGTTAGCAGGGCTGGTTTGAGAAGATGCCTGGGTGACTGGGAGATTGGTTAAATATATGGGAATTGAGCAAATATGTAAACATATTTACGTAATTAATGAGAGTCAGGTTTCTCATTGTTAGAGATCAGAGGCAATTGTAGAAAGGGGAAGGAAATAATAAACTTTGTGGTGTTGATCTGGAGTTGTGGTGTTGGCATTGGAAGTACTAATGTGAGCTCGTGGATATATATAAACTCAAAACTCACTGCTGTCGAGTCAGTATGTATTTGAATTTGTGTGTGTGTATTCCACCCTCCTTCAAGTTCTGTCTACTAAGAGGCCCTAAGTCAATGACACCCTATGTGGCCATCCTACAGAAGCATGTTGTTGTTGTTGTTGTTATGTGCCGTGGAGTCAGACCCGACTCATAGCGACCCCTCCTTGGGTTTCTGAGGCGGTATCACTACGGAAGTAGATTGTCCAACCTTCCTTCCGAGGAGTGGCTGGTGGATTTGAACTGCCAGCCTTCTGGTTAGCAGTCAAGTGCCTTAGCCACTATGCTACCAGAGCTCCCTACAGAAGCATAATGGACCCCAATCCAAAATTTGGTTCAGAAGTCAAGGTTGATGACTCCACATCAAGATGCTATGCAAAGGTTTAATATTCACATAGTGAGGCTTTCTGGTGAGACCAAGGTGGTTCCAGGGAGGTCTAAAATGGCTTGAGAGAGCAAGGAAAGGAAACTAGCTTGGAGTTTTTTTGGTGCTTAGGGGATGGGACTGGGCTTAGGTTCCCACACATCACTTGAACTTCCTGTCAATGCCAAAGGAGGGAACACCTCGGCTTTCCTTTCAGCTTGCCAAGGGGCAGAGCACAAGGGGAGGAGACAGAGGTGAGGCTTAAAAGACATCAACAGTTAAACATTGAAAAATGGAGCCAGATTCTTTGCTACACACTCCAGTAGCAATGAACCCATATCTTGGTTTCTAAATATTATTCACTAAAGGGAACCAGGGTTCAGTGAATAAATGGCTGATGCCAAGGCTGGGGAAGGGCAAGTGCATGAGCCCAGAACATCTTACTGTGCTAGAAATAAGAAAGTGCTCAACAAACAAAAGGGACCTGCTAGCAATAAAGAGGAACTATTTGTTGAAATGGCAAATGTTTTGTTACATATATACTTACCACCCTCACAATAAAAAAAGGAACGAAAACTGACATATTCAACGATGTGGTGAATCTCAAAACCATTTCCTTTGAGCAAAAGACACCAGATGCAAATGAGCACATAATGTACAATTCCATTTTATACGTGGTTCAGGAACAGGCAAACGAATCTATGGTGATGGAAATCAGAACAGTGGTTGCCTATGGGGGATGGAGGTTGGGGGAGGCTTCAAGAGAACTTGCTGGGGTGATGAAATAGTGTATAGCAAGATACCACTTTGCTTCTCCTCTGTCTCTCATTGCATGTAAACTTTACCTGCATTTAAAATAAATAGCAAATCACAATACAACCTGCTAGGTGACCTGGATTTTGCTTCAGGGCAGTGATATTTTAAAGAATTTAAAATGTTGAAAGAATGATTTTAAAAGATTTGCACATTGTGAAGACTTCTTTAGAGGCTGCAGACTGTCTCTAACTCCCACGGTCCCAACACTGTTGAAGTGACTTCTGGCCTAGAGGCCCTCTGTACCTGGAGGTGGTAGATGGAGCTGGCCCCTTTGTGTGGCTGGCTCCTCCTCTCTTCCCTTCCAAATGGCAGGAGACACTTCTGCTGATGTGTGCTACTATTAGGGTGTATCCTAGGGCTATGGGAGGTCTGAGGAGTGAGTGCAGAGGGTGGGGGTGGAAGAGGAGAGATCCGACAAGATTACATGGAAGAGATGACATCTGTGATCTCTTGAAAGACAGATGGAATTTTCCAGGTGGGAAAATGACCAGTCAGTCAGAAAGTGTGGAGTATTTGGGAATGATAAATATGTTCTAGAGCTTTGGTGAGAGCTGAGACTGGAGAAAAGAGGCCAGTTCTCAGGGATCTTGTGTGTCTCAGGAGAGGGCACGTGGCCTGAGAGGCCTTAGGAAAGCCCAGGAGCCAGAGAGACTTTTGGGCCCTAAGACCTTGTTTTCAGACCTTCAGAGCCACATCCTGCTCCCATTCACTCCCTGGGGGTGTCTTGCTCACAGCCCTAGAAATCCCTCGCTGAGCCTCCAGTGGTTTTCATTCTGGGGAAGACCCAGGGGCCCAGAAGAAGGATTCTAGGGAGTAGTGGGCAGGAGGCCTGTGGGGAAAATGCAATGAAGCTCTCAAATCCGAGTTTGAATTTGGAGGCGGTGCACTGGCTATAGAAGGTCTGGAGGCATAGTGCCTAAGGCACTTGACTGCTAACCAGAAGACTGGCAGTTCAAACCCACCAGCCACTCCTTGGAAGGAAGGTTGGGCAATCTACTTCCG